TTTTTTTTTTTTACTAAGCAATATTTTCTTTTTTGCATAGACTGTTGGGGCCAAAAACCTTAGTTAAGACTAGATTTATATTTTAGGAACATAGTACTGGTAGTAGCATAAAGCTATGTTTTCCAAAGTATGGGCAAGTCATGACCCATTAATAGATTGTAAAATCAATTTCATGGGTTTTTTTATTAGCATTTTAAAAAAGAAATGGAATATTTTATAATATGTGATATTATATTCTTTGTAGTAAAGGCATTGTTTCATGAAATGCTATAAGTGTGTGTATAAGATAAACTGCAAGACTGGGGACAAGTTGTTTCCAATAGTGTGGTGAACTAGATAACCTGGAAATGTTCGCTACATACTCCTAAGAATATTAAACATGAAATGGGCCCCAAAATGCACAGCCGAGTGATTAAGAATATAAGTGAAATGTTCAGGAATTAGACTGAAGGGTAACTGAAAACAGCAGTAAGCATGCGAGCTAATATTTGGGGGTTAGGAGATGTAAGAGAGGAGATGGCTGATCTCGTAAATGTAGGGTTTTAACAACAGACTGTTAACAGGAGGAGGTGAGAATTATCCAGTAATTTAGGAATTGGATCTCTCTTGCCTTAGAGTCTAGGTTGGAGAAAAATCTTCTGAGAATGCAGAACTGTGGTTCTATACCTCATAAAGGTTTAGAATTCGAATTCATACTACCCAAGTGGTCTTGAAACCTATAATCTGGGGAATTAACATAAAAATTAGATTTCAAGCCAGTTCCTGAGGTGCTTGGGACAAACCAGGCAAAACCACTTGAGAGTGACACATTCAGTCCAGTCCACGCACATTTCTCATGATTTAAGGCTATATTCTGGGAATCATGCCACCGTGAGTGAGAATCAGCATATACAACAAACTGAAGGATTAGATTTTCCCCTCAACTTTAGCAAATGAAGCTATCTGGTAGGGACTATAAAATCAATTTTCTTAAAACGATTAAACACAAAAGTCAAATCTGAAACACAGAAGAGCCTAATTGCGGGGGAAAAAGATAGAATAGAAAAAATTTCCAGAAATAAAAATGTTATTAAAATTAAAAACTCATTCGATGACTTAAACTGTAAGTTGTACTCAACTGATAGAGGATTATTGAGGTAAACGACTCCACGGAAATTATCTAGAATGCAGCAGAGATAAACTGAAAATACAAAGTTGAGTCATGGAAAATAGAATGAAAAGGTACTTCATATTTCTAATGAGTCCTAGATGTAGAGAAGAGAAACAATGGGGGTAAGATAACATTAAAAATGTAATAAGAATTTTCCAGAATTGATGACAGATTTAAGAAGTACAACGAATCTAAAGCTGAAAGTAAAAATCAATCCACGTCTTGATACTTCAGAATGAAACTGCACAACAACGACAAGATCTGAAAGCAATCAAAGATAAACGGCTGGAAGCTTTTCTGAATCAAGTTAAGAGATGTGTGTTTGATGTCAGGATGGCATAATTTCATGATAATGAATGGATTTAGAAGGTTTAGGAAGAAGGGATTTAAGTTGATACCGAAGTTTCTAATTTGGTTAGTCAGGCAGATAATGACCCTTTGTTCGAGACTGGAAACAGAGATGAGATTCAGGGTGTTGCCAAAGATTTGAGGAGCAGTTCAGAGAAAAATAACATTGTTTAGGACTTGTTGAGTTTGAAGTAACTGGGACACCTAGGTATAAGTACTTGCAGGTAATTAGAAATATCAATTCAAATATGGAAGTCATAAGATTGCCAAGGGATAGGATGCAAAGCGAGAAGGCATGGTGGCATGTTTTGGAACCTGGGGAATGAACCTCTTTAAAAAATGGAGAATGAGCAATGAGAATGCGTGGGACCAGGAAGGGGTGGTATAAAGCTGAGAAGTTTAGTGAGATTTGATCATCTGGAGATCACAGAAAGAAGATGGGGCATACTTAATTCACCCAGCAAGGAGTCGTGATGACAAATGTGAAATGTCGCTAACCAGGGAAGCTCATTAGAGACTCTATGCTTAGGACTTTTATTCAGGACTGATCACGGTGACACGACTTGACTTTTGAAAAAAACTCTTTGAGTGTTAGTAGTGATAACCTAGATTTTAATGATCCAGAGAATGAATTGGAAGTGAGAAATTGGAAAACATTCAAAGAAAGTTGGGCAACAAAAGAAGAAAAAATTATCTTCATCTATCTAGTTAAATATTAATGTACTATGCAACAATTTACCACTTTAGGCATGTTTTGGAATTCCTTGTATAGTGTGTTTTAGTTTTTGAAGACGGGACTTTATTTCTCTTCTAAGGTTGTGAAAACAGCAATGCTTGTTAAATGATTAAGCACTTTTTGATGCCACTTTATTGCCTTCCATCAGATGGACCTCTTTTTATTTTTTTCTTCAATGTTTATCTTTTTAAAAAACCATTTTCTCTATATTTGTCTTTTACTCAGCTTCTCTTATTTTTTCATGAATGACATTCTCTTGAGATAATCAGGACTAAAGAGGTTATTTAGGGTTTATACTAAAACATCGAAAAGGTTGGTAGATGTTGGAGGTATATTACTACTGTTAAATTTCTCTTATCTTACATTCCTAGGAAGAATATAAACAAAAAACAATGCGAAGCCATTGTTGGAGCCCAGTGTGGCAATGCAGTGTTAAGAGGAGCCCATGTCTATGTGCCAGGAATTGTGTCAGCTTCAAAATGTAAGTATAAAGGTTGAAAAGAAATGCAAAGAAGAAAGTGTGAAGAGACTTTAATGTGGCCCTCAAAGTTTAATATATTGCTGTTCACAGAAAAAGTTCATCTACCCCTGATCTGTGTGATTTGAATAGTCTTTCTAGCTGTAGCCAATAGGCTACTCACTACTATAGTCAGGTTAATGGATGAGGTCTTAAAACGTTTTTGGAAAGTGGAATGCAATTTTCCATTATTAATGTCATCGGGATTTGTTACCGAAAATAATAAAATGACTACAAAACTAGATTTAATTAAGCATATAAATCAACTCTGTTCAGTTTCCAGATATTCTAAATATATACACACATGTTAATGAATGTACGTCCTTATCATTAAAATCTCTGCCTTAAGTTCTATAACAGGAAAGTTGCAAAGAAACACCAACAGGGTTATGGGATTTAGAAAGATTCCTTTGAGGAAGTGTAATGTATGTTTTTAAAAAATCTTTTTCAAGGAAACTTAGAACTTTGAGGATTGAACCAAAGATATCAAGATTTATTCGAAGTCTTTTAAGGGGTGGGAGGTCTCTTAGGTTTTGAGAAAATAATTTAAATAGAAGAGATCTTTCCTGCTCAGCTAAAGACTTCTAATTGAGGTGGGATATTTTGAAGACTATTTTTTTTCTTTGTTTTCCTAGGAAAAAATCTTCAATTAGAGTTATTGTTACGGGACATTTAAAAGTAAAATGTTATATTTTCTCTTAGGGTTTATTTTGAGACAAGGAGCCAGTTTAGGCTCCTTCATGTGTGCTATTGATGTCCCTGGAGTAGCTTAAAGAATTGTCACTGTTTTTCTGTCAAAGTATATATAAATGTTGTTTCTGTATATTCTGATATTAAAGGCAAATGTAAGAAAGGAGCCAAAGAATTTGATGGAACAAAAGTATTTCTTGGAAATGGGATTTCTGAAGTAAGCCGCAAAGAAATTTTCAGTGGGCTACCCGAACTGAAGTATGTATGTCATCAAGTGTTGTTTGAGGGAAATAAGCATTCTTTTTGTGGTTCAAAGGAAATGAAAAACAATGTAAAAATATATCTAGTTGCATTATATGAATAATTTTTTTTTGGCATAAATTGAACTGGAAAATAATTTCTTAAGCCATATTTCCATCAAGTTTTTTAGAAAAAATGCTTTTAGATAAAAGAGTAAATGTTCAGATTGAAGAGCCTTAAGTAAGCAACTAGTCATATTGTAATTGTCAAGTTATTTTACTTTTCCTTTTGAATTTTTTTGATTTGGAATTTTTGCATATTTGAAGAACAATACTTATGTTAATAAAAGATGAATTACATGAGCCTGTCCATACCTTTTTTAAACACTCTGATTTTGTGAAAAGAAAAGCTTATAATTTTAATATAAATTTAAAAGAAAAAAATTTTAATTAAAGTTTTACAAGAAAGCCAATACTCACATGAATACTTATGGTCAAAAATTAATGCTTGGATTTACTCAAATCAAATTAAAATTAAAATATAGTTTTAAATCTCTGGTCGCTACTGGCTCTAAATCCATGGACAGTCCAGTTCTTACTTTGCTTAGAATTTTCAGCCTGTTTTAGGGGTTCTGTGGATACCTTCAATTACTCAAAAGTTGGCAGCTACTGTGGACATGCTGAAAACTGGATTTCTCCATCTAGTTGACGGGGATCAGAACAGGTCTCCTTAAGATATGCTACTTTGGCATGTGAATTATTTTTAACTAAAAGCAATTGAGACCTTGCAGGCTCATGAAAAAGTTTTATCTCTCAAAGAATTTAAGTTAAGGGGCTTGCCCATAATTAGAGTTATCACCAGAAATAAATTTTTATGACCTATCTATAGGTCAGGGCAAACATCTAATTATTGAACATCTGTTCTTCTTATCATCTCGTGAATGGCGTATGTGTGACTTTCCTCCCCTCTGAAGCCTCAAGGTACCTTACCTCCTCTTTAGCTCAGAATGTCATAAATATCTCATTTTCCCTTTCTGTTCTGAACCTCTCATGTATGTGGGGTCTCTGACTCTCGCGTATGTGAGGTTCCCTTACATACGTATGTAATTAAAGTTGGTTATTTTCTCTTATTAATCTGATCTGCATCATGTAGATTTAATTATTAGACCAGTGATAAGAACCTAGGAGGGTAGTGGAAAGTTTCTGCCTTAACCCCATAGGACTGGGCCACACACCTCTGATTGATTCCTGGAACATTTTTTCATGTTGGAGCAGTTAGATTTATAGTTGAAATTAATTCTTCTGAAGAAACAGGTTATCGGATTCCCTAGCTCTAGTTAGCAGTACTTTCCAAATAGCCAAGAACAAAGATCTTATTCTTTTTTGAAAGCTTTATGATTATGAAGATAAAGTATATATCTTGTGTTTATCTTTGGGTCTGTAATAGGGTATTGATATTTTGACTGCCTCTTATGGTTCATTGTAAGTGGTACACTCTTCATCCTCTTGTTTTGTTTGATATAGTGGTTCCAGTCACTACTGACAGACCTTTCTGAGTAATGTTTTCTTTGTTGATGGAAGTAGGAAGCAGCCATCTTTAAAAAACTTGATTTTTAAACTCGGGTTTTAAATTCAATATTCAATTATGGTGTTATGATTTCTTTCTCTGCCTATGTGAGCAAAAGTATGTTTCCATAACAAATGCTACATAGACACCCTGTTTCTTATTTATAGTCTATAAAACTTTAGAACCAACTCTGCTAGTATTCAACTAATAAATTTTCACCCTTTGGTTTCTTGGATTCCAGCCGAGCTTGATCATTCATAGACTCAGAAGTAGGTTAACTTACTAACAGACATACTAAAGTACCTATGCAATCTGGTACTTTACATTATCATATGGAGATACGTATTACAAAAATAGATTTAAAAGAAACATGCAGTCCCATACCTGAGCAATAATTGGCTTAAATTATTCTTTGTCATGTTTTAAGTTAAATACTGTATAGATGGACATGTTGTCCTGGTAGGCATGGTACGAAGGAGACAGTCAAATGTACTGTTACCATTGGGGTGATGTGAAATCCAGTGTCACCTCAGAGGCATGGGATGAAGGTCCTCAGTTCTTCCCCGCTGACACAGCAAAGAGTTACAGGTCAGCGAGATTTAGAAGTAAGATTTATTGAAAGTACATTTTAGAGGGAGACAGGCCATGTTTAGGAAGGCTGCGCTATGGGAGGTGAAAAGATAAGAGTATGCTCTAAGGAAGAAGTGGGTTTTCAGCAAAGAGCAGTAATAACGCAGAAGTGGGAAGGTCTGTTTATATTCGGGGCATAACGGGAGGTCCTAGATGATCTGCATGTAAGGTTACCTTGACTGACAGTTGGCTACTAACTCTTTGCCTACTGTGCATGTGCTTACCCAGAATTCAGTCTGTTATAGATTCATGAATTTCCGGCCATAGGCATGATATAATGATGATATAATGAGGCTGAAGTTATGGACAGGTTAAGGTAGTACTGTTTGCACATGCGTTTGTGGCCGCTAGGATTTGAGTTAATTTATAACCCTAAAAGGGAGGTGTTTCAAGAATGTCAAAAAGGAAGGTCTTCAAGGGAGGTTTCTATGTTTACAGAGTTGAGCCTTCACTCCTGTCTCTCATGCCTGCCTAACTACCTAACAGTACCAGAACTCGAAGTGCTAGATGGGAACTGGATTAGGAAGGCAGACACATATATGTTAATTTTAGTATTTTTCAGAGGACTGGAATCCTGCAAGTCAGAAAGTCATTTAAATTACGGAGTGATCAGGTTGCAGAATTCAAGGCATTCAGTAATGAGTCTACACTCTGGATGGGGGGCGAGGTAAGGTGTTGATCAAGTTGAGAGCACCAGCTGTCTCAACAAAGGACTGTTAAATGTGAGGCGCTGACATTTCAGAAGGTTCCTTTGAGTATTTCCTGCTCAGGGACAGGACTATTTGACTAGTAAGTGGTTTTATTTGATCCTGACTGGAGCAAGGACCAGTCTTTACTCTAGTTTAAAGTGCAGATTCAGAGATCCCAAGTAGTAGTAAATAAATGAGGGAGGATAAAAGGGATGGAAAGAAGAAGAAAGGAGTTAACATTTATTGTATGCAGAAAGACGCTAGAACTGAAGGGAATTCCTCCTCATATCCCCTGCCATGACAGTTTACAAATATCTACAGAAATCATTTCACTCTAAAGCACAGCATAAATTTACCCTGCTGTGACGTAATAAATAATTTAATCTTTGTCCTGAGTTCCTGGCACTGGGCCCCTAAAACCCTTGGAATCTCTGGAGTGATAGTGTCTTTCGTATGCTAATGAGGTGGCTGAGGGTGGGGGCTGGTTGCCAGAGCAACCGACCATGTGATTTGAAGGTTGGAACTTGCCCCATCCCCTGACCTTTGGGGAGAGGAGAGGATGTTAGAGCTTGATTAAATCACCAGTGGCCAGCAATATAATCGGTCACACCTATGTGATGATACGTACATGGTGAACAACACATCTAGGTGTTGGAGGGCAGTGAGCCAAGAGAGGGCAAGGACGCTCCAGGTCCCTCTCCCATTCCTTGTCCTGTGCATTTCTTCCATTTGGCTCTTTCTGAGTTGCATCCTTCATAATAATATGGTAACAATAAGTAAAGTGTTTTCTTGAGTTCTGTCAATTGTTCTAGCAAGTTATCGAATCTAAGGAGAGAGTTGTCAGAACTCCCAAATTTATAGCTGGTTGGTCAGGAGCATAGGTGGCAGCCTGGAATGTGCAGCTGACATCTGGTATGGGGCTAGTTTTGTTGCTCTGAGCCCTTGAACCTGTGGAGTTCGAGGATAACTTCAGGTAGTGTCAGTTGAATTGTAGGACACCCAGTTGGTATATGGAGACTTGGAGAATTGGTTGGTGTGAGCAGAAAACCCACACATTTGGTGTCAGAAGTGTTGTGAATAAAATTAGCCCACCTGCCTACATCAAGTAGAGTACAAAACATCTGTGTTGATGCTTCTCTGCCAAGATCAGTTCGTAAGCTGTGAACTTGTCTAGCATGCTCTATCTGAAGACTCTGTTCTTTGCCTTCCTTAGACTCTTCTTTACTTGTACCCTTGTGCCTGATTTAAATCCTGATTCTTTTCTTTTATGATGAGACTGTATTTTTTGTGTCCTGCTAATCCCCAGAACGTTATGTAGATTTCCCTTTTTTCTCATTCTCTCTGGTGTGGCCAGATAACACTAGGCTTTCTCTAGCAGTGTTTGTGTGCTTTCTCGTCCCTTTGATAGTATCTGACAACCTTTCCCAGGTTGACATGTTTTTCTGAATCGCTGTCTACCTGGGACCTGGCCCTTCCTGCTCTCATCTGTTACACTGCCACTCAGAACACGGGACAAAGGTGGAAAAGACCATCTTGAGGATCGTGTCAGTATTGAGGAATTATTCTCTAAGGAGATAAGAGCAGTGTGGCATGTTTGTCATTGCTTAGCATCAGCATGATTATATATTTCTCTTTCATAGAAGTACCTAGCACAGTGCCTTGCAGACTGAATTGTTTGTTGAATTGAAAAGCTAATAACAATGATCAAAATTCTGTTACCAGAAAGATTAGAATGAATATATACTCAGATTTCTTTGCTTTTTAGTCTGTTCAGATCTTAAAAGAAACTCATTTGTGCCCAAATGAAAAATGTATGTAACTTTATCCTTTAGTTCTCTTGATGGTCTCCTACTGCACGTTAAAAATTCAGAAACAATTCACAGAAATATTCTAAATATTTTGCTGTCTAGTAAAAAGAGGTTTTAAAAAGGCAGAGCATCTGATATTTGACATGCTACTTGGGTATGTTGCTAGAAATGGAGTTTGTATAGGCGATGTAATTTATATAGAATAACATATGTCCAACTTTTCAGAGGTATAGGCATAAGAATGACAGAACCAGTATATCTCAGCCCTTCATTTGACAACGTACTGTCCAGCTACTTATTTTTACAGGTAAGTATTTGTAAAAATAAAATATTTAGTGACATTAAAACATACTTCAGTGAATTACTTGAAATCTAAGGTGTTTTTGTTTTTACTTCTCACGTTTACTGTGGTCTATTTATATATTTTCTGATTTACTTTTGGTTAAGCAGTAAGAAAAAACTTAGTAAGCACTCTTTCTCAACTAATTTTTAACTATTTTTTTACCCTTTGTGCCCAAGAGTGCTTTAATATAAAGCTTGTAATTGTTGCTTTCCATCTCAAAATATTAATCTGTAAACAATGCATGCATTTGCTATACATATACATGTTTATAACTCTGAGAAAGATTCAAATGGTTTGTAACAGATTTTTGTCAGGTGGTTATCACTGTGATAGTGATTTGTTTTGCCTTATTCAGTTTATCGAGTACTTCTGTGTACATTAACTGATTTTATTTGATACAGTCTGGTTAGGTGATGTTATTATTAACGTTGTTATTACTTCAAATATAAAAAGATAACAAAGATCAGATCTGTTAGGGTTCTTGGACAATTTTACACAAGTTAATGGAGAATTCAGATTTGACATCTGCTTTGCCTGCTGTCTGGGTGGGGAAAGAGCTCAGCAAAGGAACGATGGCACCTGTCAGCATTTTAGTCCCAGACAGAGCTGCCCTTCCAGCCCTCACCCTAAAGCCGGACAGTTCATTTCCTCCCTGTATGTCTCTGGTGCTTTTCAAGCTACTGCCCCAGCACTGGAGCTCAGAGCGAGTGAGTTTGTGAGTCTGTGTGTGGGCCCTTTAAGACCTGCAATGCCTAGGTTTCCAGCAGCCTTTGGTCTCACTCAGCCACAATCTCTGCTGATTTTAATAACAAAGTCATGGGAACTTCTCTTCCCAGCACTGGAGCCATTGGCTGGAGAGCTCAGTGTGGGGCTAGGACCCCTCACTCCTCCAGGGAGACCTGCACCTGAGATATTCCTCTCGTTTCTTTACTGCGTCATGGGTGTGAGACTAGCCTGTTTCGTGTCTCCACCTCTGCTCCCAGTCTTGTGGCTTCTTTATATCCTCAGTTATGGGGAATTCTGTTTAACTAGTCTTCAGGCGGTTCTCAGTAATAGTTCTGTAATTTAGTTCTAATTTTGATGTCATGGGAGAGTAGGTGAGCACAGTGTTTACACTGCCATCTTGACCGGAAGTCTTCAGAATCTTTTTAGTTCGATGTAGTCTCACTTAGTTTTTCTTTTGTTTTACTTTTGATGTCAGATTCAAAAAAATCATTACCAAGACCCATGTCAAGGGGCATACTTCCTATGTTTTCTTTCAGGAGATTTATAGTTTAAGGTCTTACATTCAAGTCTTTAATCCATTCTGAACTGATTTTTATATGTGGTGTAAGAGAGTAGTCCAGTTTCATTCTTTTGCATGTGTTTGTCCAGTGTTCCAAACCCCATTTATTGAAGAGATTGCCCTTTCCTATTATGTATTCTTGACTCTTGTTGTAAATTAATTGACCATGTATGCATGGATTTATTTCTTGTTTCTATTCTGTCCCATTGATCTGTGTCTGTTTTTATGCCAATGACATACTGTTTAAATCACTGAAACTTTGTGATAGAGTTTGAAATCACAGAATGTGATGCCTCCAGCTGCGTTCTACTTTCTCAAGATTGCTTTGGCTGTTTGGGATCTTTTGTGGTCCCATATAAATTTTATGATTGATTGTTCTGTTTTTGAATATTTAAAAAAAAATCACGAGATAATTCTGTTATGTAATGAGGATTGAAAAATACTGTAGAGATAGGTAGTAGACTAAATTATTTTTAAAAAACTGTGTCATCATTTAAAACTTTTGTGAAGCCTCTTCGCTTGGACTGTTTTATAATTTCAACTTACTGCATGACCAGAAGCTTTTTTTATGTTACTTATATTTGGAAATTTCTGTCTTCTTTGACCAATATATTCTTATCTTTATTAGGAGTTAAGCATAATCATTTGTCTCTAGATAAAGAATTTTCAGTAGCCACATGTTTTAGTGTTTTCATATTAGAGTTCAATTTGTAAATATTTTTGCAATAAACTAGATCATTGAGAAAAACTTGTCTGTAATAGGTGGCACTGTTTTTCTGGTTCCTAAATTGTTTGCATTGAGTTTAATGATTCCTTCATCCTCAGAGAGGGTGAAAATTTGCTTGTTTGTGTCTCCTTTCTCACCATTGATTTTGTTTTGAAGTGGTGATCTTGGATTCACTTGAGAGCATTGTAACCTTCTCACAGTTCTTGAGGACATACTAATGGATGTATGTGTTTTGCTGTAAGAATGAATTGAAATCTTTAAGCTTTAAAAATAAATAACTGTAGGCTTGTTAGCCTCTACTTTTTTCTTGCCAAGTATTTTTAAAAATTACTTTGTGATATTACTCTGTTTTATTTAAGGCTAACTCCTGTAGTAGCAGCCTTTATGTAATTAACATTAATAATGATTTAATATAACAGTGCTATAGGCGGAGGTATATTTGGGTTATATAATCTCATATATTTCTAGGTGTCTATCAGAAATAGCTAAGATTATTTTACATTTTACTTTTCTCCTACTAAAATGTGGCAGTGATGAGAAGACAGGAAGCCAAACATGCCTTTGAGCGGCATTAGCAGCATAAAAATGGGATTTTAAAATGGGAATTAGATAATGAAGCACCTGAAAATACAAATTCTTGTACATTTTCTGGGGAAAAGATCCAGAACTTTTTCATATTTCTAAGAGGTCTCTGGCCTCCAAAATATTAAGAACCACTGAATTGAGAAAGGGTGATATGCTTTTTTTTTGCTGAATTGATTGGGGGAAGTACATTGTGTACATGCATGTGTGTCTGTGTGTGTGACTGTCCCATGAGATCATAGGATAACCTAGGAAATTGTAAATTTCCTGACACTAGTATACTTACGAAGAAAACTCATGCTCTTGACAGAGGGTGTTGAACTGGATTACCTCCAAATGTTTCTTTATGTTCTCTGATTCTGAAATTGAAAATGATTTAGAATCTTTGATAATTGATTTTTTTTCCTTACAGAATTTGCCATCTGCTGTAGTAACTCATGTTTTGGACCCTCAACCTGGAGAGAGGATTCTAGATTTGTGTGCAGCACCTGGAGGCAAAACAACACACATTGCAGCACTAATGCATGATCAGGTGAGACCGTCTTCACAGCAAAACGACTCTCAATGTATTCTTTATTTTGGTAACGGAGGTAGAACCACATGTAACTTATGAAACAGTATATGGACACTGATTATCTGATTCATTTCAAATTCAACCAAGTGAAGACTGTTCAATGATATTGGTTATTACATATTAAGTTCAGTAGCCAATTATGTGACAACTGCCTCAAGGCCTCTCAGATTCGCTAATACATTTATAGAATTCTTTCCTCATAAAATTAAGGTTAAGTGAAACATTAAAGACATCTTTCCATGATTTTAATTATAACATTTTTAAGCCATTTTTTTAAACCATTGAAATAAATTTTGCCACCAAAAATTTGACAGTATTTTTTTGTCAAAATATACATTGTTGGTTATATTTACATACACATATGATACATAATACATATGTGTGTGTGTCTTTTGTCTTGGCATTCATAAAATCTTTATGATCTGGCTTAATTTTAAAGCTTGTTTCATTGTCACAAAATATAGTATGTATGTCCTTGGATACTTTAGCTCAGATTTTACTGTTTTTTTTTCTTGTGTATACATATTTGCCAATATATTTTCTTTCTGTATGAGCTTGTTTTATTTGTATTCAAAACTCAGTATGGCCTTGTAACCACTGTATACTTCAACTAAAACTCTTCAACTTGAGAACGATATGGCCAGTTGACAGTGTCTTTTCCATTTGTTTCAAAGTCTATAAAACTAAATGGTTTCTAAATACTTATACATGCTAGTATCTTCGCCTACAATAGCTTTCTTGATCTGAAATCAGATTTTTAATGATTGATTGGTTAATTAAATATTTAGTTAGTGTTTACTATGTGCCAAGTACTGGGAATAGAGCAATAAACCACAGTGACCAGAATTTTCTTCATCGTGGAGTTTACATTCCAGTAAGAAGAGACAGATGATAGACAGACAGACAGACAGATAGATAGATAGATGAAAGAAAGGAAAGAAAAAGAAAGAGATAGTGAGAGAGAAAGAGAGAGAGAGAGAGAGAAAGAAAGAGAGAAAGAGAAAGAAATGGAAGGTCCAGTGCATATGATTGCAGTAAGAGCTGTGGTGAAAAATAAAGGAGGGTTAGGGGAATTGGCAGCATCGCGGGGAGGGAGAATGAGTTTGCAGTTTTAAATACTGTGACGAGCAGCATGGGGGTCTGTGGAAAGAATGTTCTAGCTAGAGGACACAAGTGTAAATGCTCTCAGGCTGGTGGCTGCCTGACTTGAACTTGTGCAGTTTTGCTGAAGTAGACTTAAGTGAGGAAGAGCGATCAGAGAGTGGTGGGGAGGGGGCGTGCTTGGGTAGAGCAGTTCTGCACTGACTGACAGGACGTCAGTTTTCCGTGAATGATAGAAAGTAAGACATTGGCAGTTTTGAACAGAAGAGTGGCTTAAGCCTACCTATTATTTAATACATCATTTTGGCCACTGCATTGAAAACAAGCTGTAAAGGGCACGGTTAGAAGTAGAGAGACCAGTTAGGAGATGGTAATTCCGGGAAAAGTCACTGAGGAGGTAAGATATGATCAGATTCTGGATTTGTTTTTGAGGTGGAGCTGTTAAAAGTTGTTGATAGATTGCATGTGATTTGTGAAAATAAGAGAATAATTGAGGGTAACTCCTAAGGTTTTTGGCCTGAGGAGTTAGATAGAGGTTCTGGATAGGGATGACTACAGGAGGAACAAATTTTGCAGGAAAAAAATCAGAAATTTAGTTTTAATTACATTAAAATGAAGTGTATTAGACATCAAAGAGATGATGTTGATCAGGCATTTGGATATCTAGAGTATAGGAGAGAGGTCTGGATTGGAAATATAAATTTAGAATTCTTCAACGTATAGATAATATGTAAAGCCATAAAACTGATATGGGTGGCAATAGAAAGTAGAAGAGGCCGAAAGACTGAGACTCTTGAGTACTGTACACCACCATTCTGAAGTTAAAGAAATGAAAAGGAATGGCCAGTGATGCAGGAGGACCAGAGGAGTGTGTAACCCTGGAAGCCATGTGTAGAAATGGATTGAAAGACGATGGGGAGATCAGCTGAGTCACATGTCGTTGCTAGGTCACGTGAGAGGACTGAGAACTCTCTGGCGATTTAGCACCGTGTAGGTGATTGGTGATTTTGTTAAGAGCAATTTTGGTGAAAATGCTTGCTTACATTGAGAATGAGAGGAATCAGAATGAATCGAGACAGGTCCTTTGGCAGGCAGGGGTGGTTTTCACAGGAGAAGAGAGAAGTGGGGCAGTAATGGGAAATGAAGTCAGGGAATTCTTTTTTTAAGATGAGGGAACTATCTATTGAGAAAGATACACATTTAAAGGGAAAATTGGTAACACCAGAGGGAACAGTGAAAATTTGGGGAACAATATCTTTAGGTAAGTGAGATGGGATAGGAATTGATGCACAAGTGGCTATAAGTGGTAGCATGAGAGTACATTCGTGGAAATGGGAGGGAAGGCCGAGGATATGGGCACAAATGTTGGTGGGCTGGGAGACATGGTAAGTGACAGGAAGTCCTCTTCTGGTTGTTTCAGTTGTCTCAGTGAACCAGAGAGCAAAGTCATCACATTTGACTAGGGATGGGGGAGAAGGTAGTAACAGTTTTTAGAGGCTATGAAATATTAATTGAGGAAAATGGGAGTGAGAATGGGCTATGGACACGTCATAAGAACTCTAGGTTGCACTAAGGGCCCCATGAATACAGTGGCCATGAATTTAAAGGAAGTTTAGTTGGGATAGTTGATGTGCTTTTTAGCTGCATGGGGATAAACATGAAGTTGGTGAAGAATTGGACTTAACCACAGTTGTGTTTTTGTCATGTTAAATGCATTACACAGAAGCATGCTAGTTAAGGATGTATATAGGGAGTGATTATGACGCACTGTGGAATCTAAGCTGGGTAAAGAACATAGCAAGGACAGTAAGAGTGAGGACAGTGGATCTGTACATACTTTCTAAATTGGCCGAGAATTATACAGCTCTAGTAATTCTTATGCATCTAGCAAACTCAGCAGTTTACATAATGGTACTACTAATTTATAAATAAAAATTACCTGCTTGAGCTATAAGACTTTCTGACGTAGAAAAATACTTTCACAAGACTTATCAAAGCCCTTCTACTCTAGCTAATTTACTTGGTAGACTATCTGTATTCCCATTCCCCAAAGCGCCACATGATGGATTTTATTAGGTGGTCCATTTATTTTTAATTTTTCAATTAGAGTTGACATAACAATATTACTTTAGTTTCAGTATACAACATAGTGATTAAACATTTGTATAACTTATGAAGTGATCATTTTATTAAGTCTAATACCCATCTGGCATATAGTTAATAATATTGTAATAATAATATTGTAATACACAGTTATTACAGTATTATCGACTATGTTCTCCATCTGTACTTTACATCCCCATGACTGTTTTTATAACTGGCAGTTTGTACTTCTTAATCCTCTTAGTTTTTTCTCTTAACCTCCATACCCCCTCCCCCCGACCTGGCAACCATTAATTTGTTCTCTGTATCTATGAATTTGTTTAGATTCCACATGTAAGTGAAATCATATGATGTTTTTCTCTGACTTTTTGCACTTGACATAGTACTCTCTAAATCCATACATGTTGTCATAAATGACAAGATTTCATCCTTTTTTGTGGCTGAGTAATATTACATTGTATTTGTGTACCACAACTTCTTTATCCATTTGTCTATCAATGGACACTTAGGTGCTTCCATGTCTTGGTATTGTAAGTAATGGTGCAGTGAACATAGGAAAAGGGTGCATATATCTTTTTGAATTAGTGTTTTAAATTTTTTCAGATAAATATTCAGAAGTGGAATTGATGGGTATCTCTATTGAACCTCCATACTGTTTTCTGTAGTGGCTGCACCCATTTACAATCCCACTAATAATGCACAAGGGTTCCCTTTTCTCAACATCTTTGCCAACTCTTGTTTGCTGATTTATTGATGATTGCCATTCCGACATGTGTGAGGGGATATCTCATTGTGGTTTTAATTTGCATTTCCCTGATGATTAACATCTTCTCATGTCTTTTGGCCATCTGTATGTCCTCTCTGGAGAAATGCCTATTCAGGTCCTCTGCCCATTTTTTAATCAGATTGTTTTTTGGTGTTGAGTTGTATGAGTTCTTTATATAGTTTGAATATTAACCCCTTGTTGGAGGGATCATTGGTGACTATTTTCTCCCATTCAATAGGTTGTAGTTTCATTTTGATGGATTTTTTTGCTCTGCGGAAACATTTTAGTTTGATGTAGTCCCATTTGTTTATTTTTTTTCTTTTGATTCACTTGACCAAGGAGTCACGTCCAAAAAAAATATTGCTAAGAGCCATGTCGCAAAGTTTACTGACTGTTTTCTTCTAGCATTTTTATGGTTTTAGGTCTTACATTTAAATCCTTAATCTGTTTTTAGTTTATTCTTGTATATGGTGTAAGAAAATAGTCTAGTTTCTTTTTCTTTTTCTTTTTTTTTTTTTTTTTTGCATCTATGTCCAGTTTTCCCCACACCATTTATTTAAGAGACTGTCTTTACCCCATTGTATATTCTCGTCTCCTTTGTCATAGACTAGTTGACCATATAGGTGTGTGTTTATTTCTGGGCTCTCTATTCTGTTCCAGTGACCTGTGTGTGTTTTTATGCCAGTACCATGCTGTTTTGATTACTATAGTCTTGTAGTATAGTTTAATATCAGGTTGTGTGATACTTCAAATTTTATTCATTTTTCTCAAGATTGCTTGGATTATTTGGGGTGTTTTGTGGTTATTATGGGATATTATGTGGTTATGCTGCTTTGGGGTAAAATGTCCTAAAAATATCAGTTAAGTCCATCAGGTCTAATGTGTCCTTTCAGGATACTGTGTCCTTGTTGATTTTCTGTCTGTATGAGCTACCCATTGAAGTCAGTGGAGTGTTAAAGTGCCCTAGTAAGACTGTATTACTGTCACT